CTAATAAAACATTTGGATCTGTGTTTTGTAATCTTTTAATTTTTTTCTAGAAATATTTATCTGCAAGCGGTCAGAAATTAGGAAACAAAGTCTGGCCTTGCACCACAGATGGTTTGAGAAGAACTGCTGCAGGCTTGGCCTTGGGTTGGAGGCTAAGGCTTTTCCTAAGGTGCCTCCTTTTTTCCCAGGAAGGGGGTTTGTTCTTCCTCATTGCCAAGTTCAGGAGCCTAGTCTTTGCCTTTTTTAATTTTGGTAAAATACACATAACATGAAATTGACCATCTTAACCATTTGATGGTATTAAATACATTCACATTGTTGTGCAACCAGTCCCCAGAACTCGTTTCATCTTGCAGTACTAAGTTCTATACCTACTACAGAGCAACTCTTTATTTTAATCTGTTGATTTTGTCTTTTTATGTACAGTTTTTAATTTTGATGCAGTCCAGTTGACCTATTTTTGCTCTTGCCTGTGTTTTTGGTGTCGTATTAAAAAAATCATGGCAAAATCCAATGTCATAAAACTTTCCCTGTGTTTTCTTCTGAGAGCTTTATCATTTTTGCTCTTAGGTTTAGGTCTTTGATTGATGCTGAGTTAATTTTTGTACATGGTATAAAGTTAAGGGTCCAGTTTCATTGCATAAGGATACACAGTTTTCCCAATGTTTTTTGTTGAAAAAAGCCCAGTTTTATACTCAGCTATTATCTACCTGGGCAGCAAAATGAAGGGAAAAACTGGTAAGCAAGCATTGCTGGGAAAATTTGAACACTGGTTTATGCCTGATTTTGGCAGTTTGGGGAAGGGGAACATGGCTATTGAATGCTCAGTGGAACACGAGAGCTCAGTGTCATGATCTGATGTGAACACATAATATGGCTATTTTGCTGACAACATTTTTATTAGTTCAAAAGTGGCATTTAAAGTAAATTCATGGAGTTTCACAAATAAGACCTTCCAGTCTTCCAAACAAGGTGATACCCCTTAAGTTAAAATACCTGGAGAGGAAAAGAAAACTGTTGTGGTCTGGTAATTGAAAGTGACAGTCTTAGTGATCCTCATATGAAAATTTACTCAGTGAATTTTGCTGAGTTCAATGATAGGGAAGGGGAAGGTTATCTTTTTTGAAAAACTAAACTCTTTTGTCTCGGCTTCTAGGAAATTTAGTACTAAGTTTTATGCTTGGTTACGTATCTTTTCGTCTTTTTATTCTTGACCTTCTACTCATTTGTTTTGTTTGGATTTTCTTTATAATTCAATTTTATTGAGGTATAGTTTATTTACAGTAAAATACAGAATGCACCCTTTTCAAGTCTTGATAAATGTATACACCTGTAATCACCACATCAATCAAGATTATACAATGTCTCCATTCACACAAAGTGCTCTCCCGTGCCTCTTTGCCATCATTACTGCTTTTCTGCCTCTTGTTAAATAGACCCATTGATTCTATGCCCTTCAGTGTTTACCACTAACCTACTAAAAATACTTCTGGAAGTAGGTGGATTATAAGGAAAAAAAGTGACTACAGAAATGAAATAGCCTTTTCAAGCTCTAGGTTTTCTTCCTGTGACCTGTCATTCAGTTTCTTTTTTAATATCCCCAAAAAGCGACACTACAACTTCATAAGGACTTTTCTCATTGCAGCTAACTCTGATGAGCTATGAAGCGTTCCCAGCTATCTTTAGAAGACCTTGTTCTTTCTAATCTCTTAGAAATTAAATAGCTAGTTCTAAGGATTTGTTTTTAAACTTCCAGCACATTTTATTACAAAGTAGATAGAAGAGCATTATCTCAACATAAAGGATGTTTCACTTAAACACATTTTAACTCATGGTAAAATTCACAGTATTGCCTTCATTGTGTGTGTGTGTGTGTGTGTGTGTGTGTATTTTGTGGAGTATAGTGTCACAAACATCCTCAGTACACATTGCACTATGAAAGAAAGTGAAAGTGAAAGTTGCTCAGTCATGTCCAACTCTTTGCGACCCCATGGACTGTATGTAGCCTGTCAGGCTCCTATGTCCATGAAATTCTCCAGGCCAGAATACTGGAGTGGGTAGCCATTCCCTCCTTCAAGGAATCTTCCCAACCCAGGGATCGATCCCAGGTCTCCTGCATTGCAGGTGGATTCTTTACCGTCTGAACACCCTGAGAGTGAAAGTGAAAGTGAAGTCAGTCATGTCCAACTCTTTGCGACCCCATGGACTATAGCCTGGGGCTTCTCTGTCCATGGGATTTTCCAGGCAGAAGTACCAGAGTGGGTTGCCATTTCATTCTCCAGGGGATCTTCCCAACCCAGGGATCAAACCTGGGTCTCCTGCTTTGCAGGCAGGTGCTCCCTCTGAGCCACCAGGGAAGCTCCTGAGCGCCATGGATGGTGCTAAATAGAGGAAACCAGGCACAGAATAATGCACACTCTAGGCATCCTACAGAGGCAGGACGGACACAGGTGAGGCTGCTCTGTGAGACCAGGAGTCAGGATGCCGTGACCCTGGGTCGGGGGGTTAGTGACTCGAATATGAGGGGCTTGGGAGCTAGTCATGCTGTTTCTTCTTCAGGGTGTTGGTTTCATGGCACACAGGATTTGTGAAAATCCAGAGAACTGTACGTGTATGAAATAATGCACTTCTCTGTTTGTATCATACTTGAGTTAATGTTAAAAACACACACTTCATCATCGTCCACCCTGGGCCTTTAGCCCTTTGGGACCCACTAATCAAGTTCAGCCTCCACATTTAGTGGAGTAGGAAACCAAGCCCTTGAGAGGGGAAACACCTGTTCCAGGTGACAAAGCCAGTCAGGGGCCAAACTGGGAAAGAATCCCCCGCCCGAGGCTTAGCTCGAGGGCTCCTCACCGCTCCAGGCTTCCAGAGGATTTTTTTCAGCCAGACAAATTTGTTCCTGTACTGGTTTGTCTATACCCAGAGGATCAACATTTTTGCCAGAAAGATGAAATATGTCATGAGCACCAGTTGCCTTGTAGCATGTTAGAAAGTCAGTGGCCCTGCTTTCTAGTAACTCAGCAACTCATGACCTATGAAAGTCTGCAGCTGGTTTTGGAAATGTTAGAGTTATGACTTGTTTATGGATGTCACAACAGTGTCTTGAAGTGACAACAAGAAATGTAACCAACTGGATTGTGTATGGGGACAGTGTGGGTTCTAGGCAGGTGACTGGAAAGATAGGAACTGTGACTAACTAGTACGTGAGGAATTCTCGTGCATGGCGTGCACTGAAACAGTGTCTGCATGGAAAGTGGATGGTTTATGCTTCTTCCCCAGGATAATAAAGCAGCAGCGAACAGTAAGAATAAGGGTTGTTTTTTCCTTGCATATGTATATATATGTATGTATACATATGTATATATGTATATAATTGACATATAGCACTGTATAAGTTTAAAGTATGATAGCAATTTGATTTACATACATCATGAAATGATTACCACAATGTTTAATGAGCATCCATCATCTAATACAGACACACAATTAAATAGATAAAAAAAATTTTCCCTTGTGATGAAAACCCTTAGGATTTATCCTCTTAACAACTTTCATATGTAGCATAAGGCAGTTTTAATTCTATTTATCATGGGGTAAATTGCATCCCTAGTATTTATTTGTCTTCTTACTTGAAGTTTATTCAACTTGAAGTTAACTTGAAGTTTTGAACTTTTAACTTGAAGTTTTCGACTGCCTTCTTCCAATTTCTCCTCCTCCATCCCCACCTCTGATAGCCACAAATCTCATCTCTTTTTCTGTGAATTTGTTTGTTTTGAAGTATAATTGACCTAAAACACTGTGTTGGTTTCTGGTACACTGCACAGTGATTTGATATTTCTATGCATATCACAGTGATCATCACAATAAGTCTAGTTATCATCTGACATCATACAAAGGTGTTACATAATTATTGACCCTATTCTCCACTCATTTTATGCCAGTGACTGTTATTTTATAACTGTAACTTTGTACCTCTTCATCTCCCTCACCTGTTTCTCTCCTCTCTATACCCCCTCCCCTCTGGCAACCACTTGGTCAGTAATATAAGGTTTTAACCTTGTTTCACTTGCCAAATAAAGGGGATTTTTACATTAGTTTACCATTCTGCAATGACCTTCATATTATGAACTGAACTTTAAATGAAGATGTAAGCTAAAGTACATCATCTGCAGATAGCATGCTTTAATGTTCCCTCATAATGCACTAGACCTGCTTTTAAAAGGAAACCAGCATGACTGAGAGGGGCATAAATTATGAGCATCTGATATTTTCCTGCAATTATTTTCTGTGTGGATGATGTAAAAAGGAATGACATTGAACCAGGTATGTTTACAAAGCACAACAAGTCCTGATGCAAAGATTGCTTGATGTACTGCATGTCAGTATTACACCAGTGGTGCTCAGTGGTAGATCCTACAATGCTGGATATTCACATGCATTGATCTGGGTGTTTGGTGGAAGGAATGTTCATTTGTTTTGTTTTTTACTTTTGCTGACAGGTCCAAGTTACCATATATATTATCTGTCATTGTAAACCCATGAAATAAGAAAACTCTTGCCTCAGATTCTACTGTTTGTGTGCACTCTAATCAAGTGCGTTTGGACTACTTAAGTCTGGAACAGCCCACAGAGTTATAAATAAAGACTGTAGATTCTTGCTTGGTGACTATAGTTTGGCCTCCCAAACAGTCCTGGTTATTTAGCCCAAGTTTGAGGTAGAGGGTGGTTATGGATGTGTGAGTTTCCACTGAATCTGATACATTTTCATTTTATTTAAGGAAAGGACAACATACATAGTCTGCCACAGAAGGAAAACCTTTAAAAGAGTCTGAACATAATTAAATTTCCATTATCCTTTTCTTTGCCAGAAGGTTAATGATTCTCTAATAATTGAGATGTAATTGATCCCCCAAATGTGCTTCCACTTGATGAAAGTAGCAAAGTCCAATACACACTTGCTGACTAAATTTTTCCTCTCCTCTTTAACTGTCTTTTAGGACTCAGCCCAAAACCATGTTTGCCCAAGTTGAGTCTGATGATGAGGAAACAAAGAATGAGCCAGAATGGAAAAAACGTAAAATTTGAAGAATCTCCTATGAGAGCTGTTTGCATGAGGGGGAGGGATATTGAACAGGTTTGTTTTTTTAATGAAATAAAAACACATTTTTATGAACAGGTTTTGTCCTTTGCATTATTGAGCCATTCAATAGGTTGGTAGCTACCCTTCACTAAACTTGTGTTTACATTTTCTTACCTACGACTATTAAACTGTATTATAAGTAAATAAGAAGTAGATTCTTAGCCTACTATCAAGTACTTTCAGTATTTTAAGACTTTATTCAACAGTTACTGGTCTTATACAGATTATTATAACCTTAGGGGAGGGGAACGTACATTGAGACGTACATCTGTCATGAGCAATTCTAAGAGCACAGTATGGAAATGAACATCAAAATGGTTAATATCTCTGTATAATTTCACAACAGTTGTTTACATGACTGTAAATAATTAGGCTGAGTTCAAACTGAAAGTCTGAACCATTGCCATACTAGGAAACAATGTGTATCTGATTATCCTAGAACAGCAGAAAGCAGTGATCAGGAGTTAGGAAGTGGCTTTGAAATAAGACCAGTGTGGGTTCAAATCTTGGCTCTGCTCTTTACTGTCTGGGTCACTTTAGGAGAGTTATTAAGCTTCTCTCTTCTGAACCGGGGTCCCCAGGCCATGGACTGGCAGCATTAGATTGGAAATAAAATGCACACTAAATGCAGTACACTTGAATCATGCTGAAACCATCTGCTCCAATTCTCACCCAGGTCCGTGGAAAAATCATCTTCCATGGAACCGGTCTCTGGTGCTAAGATGGTTGGGGACTGCTGTTCTGGACTCAGATGATAATAGTATAACCTTCAAAGGTTTGTCAGAGCATTAGATAAGACATACGTGTAAAGCATTTAGTATAGTGCCTGACATGCAGTAAATATAACAGTAAATACTTGCTCTTTTAAAATAGAGCTAGTGAGAATGACTTAGTCTGGTTTTTATCTGTATTAATTTAGAAAAGTATAGAAGTGCTATGTAAATTAAAAGCTATGTAAGTAGAAGACTTTAAAAATCATTCTGAGAGAATTTGTACTTTTGTGATTAGAAAGCTAAATAAAAAAACTGGCAGTTTGTCCAAAGTAATAATGAGTCAATAGAATAAAATCCTGTTTCATTCTCAAGCATGAAAAGGTCCACTTGTATTGTGAGTAACAATGAGGAAATCATCTCTGTGCTAAATTTGCCTTCTCTCCCCTAATTTCCCATAACCCAGAGTAGTTTTTGCCTGTCAGATCATCTCCACTAGACAATTCAGATTCTTTAGTACTTTTGCCTTCTGCTCTCCTCGTCTCTTCTGTCCCAGTGAACAAAATAGTTATGAAAGTAAATAATGACCCAGAATGTGTATCAGAAATCTCCGGGTTCTGTGAGCTTCACATACCATCTTTCCCCACACCTTTTCCTTGAACAACCCTTCAAACTCATACAGATTTTTTTTTCCCCCCTATAGTTCTGAGGTGGCAATGGGCATTTTTAAATTCTGAAAACCTTCAATCTTGTAAGCTATTTTCTGTCCTTTTCTTCTCCCATCCCCATCTTCATCCCATTCCCCTTCCCTTGTCACTTAGCTTAATAGGTAATCAGAGGAAGAACTAACATTTGCTGAATGCCTACTCTCCGATAACTACTATTTTTTAAATTAATTTTTATTGGAGTATAGTTGCTTTACAGTGCTGTTAGTTTCTTCTTGTTCAATCACTCAGTTGTGTCCAGCTCTTTGCGACCCCATGGACTGTAGCATGCCAAGCTTCCCTGTCCTTCACTATCTCCTGGAATTTGCTCAAATTCATGTCTGTTGTGTCAGTGGTGCCATCCATCCATCTCATCTTCTGTCACCCCCTTCTCCTGCCCTCAGTCTTTCCATGGATCAGGGTCTTTTTAATTGAGTTGGCTCTTCGCATCAGGTGGCCAAAGCATTGGAGCTTTAGTTTCAGCATCAGCCCTTCAATGAATAATCAGGTTAATTTCCTTTAGGATTGACTTGTTTGATCTCCTTGCTGTCCAAGGGACTCTTAAGAGTCTTCTTCAACACCACAACTCAAAAGCATCCAATTCTTTGGCACTCAGCCTTCTTTGTGGTTCAACTCTCACATCTGTACATGACTACTGGAAAAACCATAACTTTGTCATAGCTTTTCTTCCAAGGGACAAGCATCTTTTAATTTTGTGACTGCAGTCACTGCAGTGATTTTAGAGCCCAAGAAAAGAAAATCTGTCACTGTTTCCACTTTTTTCCCATCTGTTTGCCATGAAGTGATAGGACTGGATGCTATGATCTTAGTTTTTTGATTGTTGAGCTTAAAGCCAGATTTTTCACTCTTCTCTTTCGTCTTCATCAAGAGGCTTTTTAGTTCCTCTTCACTTTCTGCCATTAGGGTGGCATCATCTGCCTATCTGAGGTTGTTGATATTTCTCCCAACAATCTTGAATCCAGCTTGTGATTCATCCAGCCTGGCATTTTTTGCATGATGTACTCTGCATATAAGTTAAATAAGCAGGTGACAATATACAGCCTTGATGTACTTCTTTTCCAGTTTTGAATCAATCATTATTCCATGTTTGGTTCTAACTGTTGCTTCTTGACCTGCATACAGGTTTGGCCAGAGACAGGTCAGGTGATCTGGTATTCCCAGTGCTTTAAGAATTTTCCACAGTTTGTTGTGGTTCTTCTGCACAGCAAAGTGAATCAGCTGTCTGATGACTCCTAAACTCTACCTACCTTAGCTCATTTAATCCTCATTAAAAACCCCATGAGTAGGTAAAATAACTAAACCCATTTTACAGATGAGACAAAAGAAGTCCAGAACAAAGAATAATCTGGCTAAGATAACATTTAGGGAGGACTGTATGGAGACATCCAAGATACCTAAACATCAGTAATTAACAAATTACTGCTCTAAATTTTCTATTATTGAAATTCACTTCATCAAAAATCAATTACAGACCACTCTTTTGTTCCAGCTGCTTAGGATTTGTAAATTTATTGCTTCTTGGATAAAATTTACTGAAATCGTGTCAGACTTTTTCCCTTCTTAACATAAACATTGCACCATATGGAAGTATTCGTCTTGCCGGGAGGGCTGGAGTGAGAAACAAAAACTTGATCATAGTGGTCTTGGCGGAGTCTGCTGTGATGTAAGGGAAGGGGAAATTGTGCAAATTTAGCACTAAGTTGGTTTTTCTCATTATTACCCAGAGCACAAGTGGCCCGTCTCATGCTTGAGATGCTCTGTCTCACTCGGGGGGCTGGTAAAAAAAATTATTTTTCCACACAAGATTATCGAAATGCACATAAGAATTTTCCAGTCTCAATTTTGGCAAGCAAGGACCTGGGAACCAGGACTGGACAAAGGGGGGGGGTGCTCATTTCATCCGCTGTTTCAGTGCTAGGATGGTGACCCCACAGGCCTCACCCTCTCGGGCCCCTCAGGGCTCTCAGCTCTCTGCCCCATATAACCTTGTATTCCTGATCCCAGTCAACTCCGTTTCTGTTCACTCAAATAAGGAACCTGAGAGCTAAAATGACTCCTCCTTCACCCCTACTCCCACCTCATCTAGTTACTCGCTGGTTTCTATTTGTGCCGTGTTCTGAATCTCTCATATTTGACCTCCATGGCTTTCCCTACCACCCTGACTGGAATTGAGACCTCCTTTGATCCCTCACCAGAACCTCTCAGGAGCATCCCTCCCAACTTGTCGGTTTTTCATTTGGTCCTCATCTAATCCATCTTTTTTTTTCTTCCCTATCAGAATTAACTTTCTAAAACCGAACCCTGTCATTTCATGCCTCTGCTTAGAGCCGTGCAGCGGCTCCGTGTTCTCTGTCTAACCCATCTGTGTGGCCCTGGGGGCATTGACATCCAAGATTCGGCCTCTCCTGGTCTTTTTTTCCCCCACTGATTTTACTAATTTATCATAGTTTCTTTTTAAAAAAATTTTAATTGAAGGATAGTTGCTTTACAGTGTTGCATTGGTTTCTGCCATACAACAACACAAATCAGTCATAACAATAGACTGGTTCTCCTGGTCTTTCTTCCTTTAACTCTTGCTGATCTCACACACCAAGTAGTGTTGGAGAATACTCTCGAGAGTCCCTTGGACTGCAAGAAGATCAAACCAGTCAATCCTAAAGAAATCAGTCCTGAGTATTTATTCGAAGGACTGATGCTGAAGCTGAAGCTCCAATACTCTGGCCACCTGGTGGGAAGAACTGACTCATTGGAAAAGACCCTGATACTGGGAAAGATTGAAGGCAGGAGGAGAAGGGGACAATAGAGGATGAAATGTTTGGATGGCATCACTGATGCAATGGATATGAGTTTGAGCAAACTCTGGGAGTTAGTGATGGACAGGGAAGCAGGGCTTGCTATAATTCATGGGGTTGCAAATAGTCAGACATGACTGAGCAACTGAACTGAACTGAGCCTGATAAAGTGAGAGTAATAGAGACAATATGTTAAGAACTTGGATTTTTTTTATTACATACCCTGCTTTAAATTATTTCTTTGATATCTAAAATTATAGATTTATCCATGGTTCTCGTTTGCCTCATTTCACAAGACTAGGCGAATTACTGGTTTGATGCTTCCCAGAAGTTTTAACAAAGAAAAAACATTTCCATGGTAACCCTGGATTTGTCTTACACTAATTTCTCTTAAAAAGTAGTAGCACGAAAAAAAATAAATAAATAAAAAAAAGTAGTAGCACGACAACTGTACTGTATTTACTGCAAGCCTATATTTATTATACTCTAATAAACCAGTACTTTGGCCACCTCATGCAAAGAGTTGACTCATTGGAAAAGACCCTGATGCTGGGAAGGATTGGGGGCAGGAGGAGAAGGGGATGACAGAAGATGAGATGGTTGGATGGGATCACTGACTTGATAGACATGGGTTTGAGTAAACTCCGGAAGTTGGTAATGGACAGGGAGGCCTGGCGTGCTGTGATTCATGGGGCCGCAAAGAGTGGGACACGACTGAGTGACTGAACTGAACTGAGCTGAAGCAACTAAGCACAGCACAGAAGAAT